AACTGTAAGGATTAGGCAGAATGAACTTGAACAATTTGCACCTGATTGTCTAGCTTTGTGTCTGTTGGTATAATTATTGATTGAGATGTATTTGGATTGCCAGCCATAAAAACTGATGCAGATGCATTTGGAATTCCATTACTCTTAAAGGCTTCTCCCCACATGCCAATCTGGTGGATCGGCTCATACATACCCATCCTTCCTGAGGAGACAAACTGTGTAGATGGGGAGTTCATGATTCTTGTACTGATGATAGAGGTAGCTCACTAAGCTTTGGTATAACTGCAGGTATGTGGTCACAAAAAGAACATAAAACTTCTACTCAAATTGATATTAAGAAGAATCTTCATAGACAAGAGTGTTGAAATAATCATTTTCAGGGTGGGAACAAAAACTGAGTTTCCCAAAAAAATGCTATGAAATGCAAATGGTAATTACTATCTCAATGAATAAAGCTGCACCTGGGGGACAATGTTCCCTGGAGTTAAAAGAATTGGAAGTGAACTAATTACATGACAGTGACACTACAAATACACGATTATGGTATCGTAGTACAAACAAAATGCCTTACTATGGATCAATATTCATGATGTTCTTCTGCCATCACTTGAATCTAGGGAGCAAAGGTAGATGCAAATTTTTTTTTAGTAAATGAAGGATGCATTGTGACTTGTGCTAGTGCCCAACTTGCAAAAGTTTCCACCAAAGGGCACACAATCTTCCAAGAAAATAAATATCATGCCCTATCGAGACGCATCTTACAACATCATGGAAGAAAAGATCATTCGCTAAGCATCATATTGTTTTTCCTCTTTATTTTACTATTTCCAGGTTCAGACATCACCAAGTCATTTCCAAATTGGATCTCACTGTTTACTCGTCTCCCTCGACATGCTTATAGTGCGCCTACTTGCTTGTCTTTGGAAATCAAGATAAATCAGGAAGAAATTATTGTGGATTTTACAGTAAGAAAAAGTCTCCATCCAAGGTAAAGGAAATAACTCTGGTCTTATAAGTAAAGAAGCATCAAGGGAAAACTCCCAAGTTGCCTAAATGCATACTTATCAACATAATAGTAGCAATGATGCTTTAGAATAGTATCGCTCGGTATTGAAGGATGATAGCCAAAGGAGATGTCAAATGAGAACAAATAAAAGTCAAAGATGATTGAGCTTGAGGTTACCACAACAGAAGCTCCACAAAAAAAAGAGTAAAACAAGCACACTAAAAAGGGTATAAATTCCCAGAAACATCTCCTTAAGCATTTTTCACTATCAACTTAAAAAGCATCCATGAAAGTGCAAATGCATAGACAAAAATTCGACTTCAAAAAGCGAAAGCAGTAGAAGAATTTGGTAAGTACACAATGATGTTTCCGCTCTCTACTGCAGCTAAACATTTCTAAATATGTAATTTGAAAAAAAAATTCACAGTTATTTGCAGCAATCATGTTTTTGGAATCTTACTTCCAAATAAACCAGAAATTCATTTTATAAAAAAAAAAAAAGCAGGAAAGCAACCCCTCTCCTCCCCCCTTCTTAAGAAAAGAACAATTCTTTCAACTAATCAATGATTTGTTATTTTCATCAATACCATGACTCCACCCTGCATAAAAAAGATCAAAGTCCAAAATTTTTTAAGCAACAAACAAACAGAACACCTTTTGGCTATTGGAAAACAAGACACCAAGAATGCAGAAACACACACACAATAAACATATATGTAACAGTATGTTTGTATGTATAATTAATATATCCAATATTTATCTGTCAAAAAACACTTCACTTCAATTCAATTGAGTACCAATATTCCTAGACAAACACGTTTTAGTAACAACTGAACAGCTGCAAACTCCAAAAGGAAGTTTAATTTCCTATTCTTTCCCTTCCTTCAAGTTTCTCAGCAACCAAACAGAGTCTTTGAAAAAAAAAAAAAAGCAGAAAAACCAAGACCAAAAAACGGTCTGAAAAAAATTACGAACCTTTATATGTTATTTGAAGTCAAAGAAACAAGAGAGAGAGTTTCCCGCCTCCCAAAACACGAGAACCAGAAGCAAAAATTTGAAGTCTCAATCGAAACCCTAACACTCCTAGTTGTTCAAATAATCCTCTCCATACCCTTTGTCCCATTATCATTTCCAACAAGAATCAATTTGGCAACACGACAGCTTAAAAGAGACTCTCCTTTCTTTCAACTGTTCTTTTTATTTTAAATTATACCATTTTTATATATTACTATTTATTTATATATATATTAGTTTTGATACTCTAAAATATCATAATAAGTTTTCAAAATTGTTTAACAAATGACATTGTTTTTTTAAAATTAAATCCGGATTTGGAAAAATCTTAAAGCAAGCCCTTAATATAATAATGAAACTAATTAGCTCTCGGCTGAAGTTCAATGAACCGAAAGAATATATATTTTACATAGTAATAAAAAACTATTCTTTTAAATAATATCTACTAAATTAATAATAATTTTTACGACGAGACTTTTCACTCCTCACGTCTTCCATACGAGATTGGAAGACCAAAAAACAAATCTAGTTGGCTAAAATTATAAATTATTAAATTACAATCTTCAATTATTTTTCATTATTTTCCCATAAATGTTATGGATTCAAATCTTTTTCATATGGCTCCAATTATGTAGGAAACAAAATATCCAAAAATAAATAATGTAAGTTTGTTATAAGGGATTCAAACATAAGTCTAGAAAATTATCTCAAAATTTTTTGGTAATTAATTTTAAAATTCAATTAACATTTAAACAAAAAAATTAAGTTAAAATCATAATTTATAAGAGTAAGATTGATGTGAAAAGGGAATTGAATTGATTTGTTGAAAAGGCTAATGATTTTTTCATATTCAGAGAGTGCTAATCCCTCAATAGAAGAATGAGTGACATCCACATCCAAACTTGCCCAACAAATAATAAAATATTATCCCATCAGCCACACAAAAAAAAATAATAAAAAAATAAAACTGTGCATACGTAATAATATTAATATATTGTTTTTTTTGTTTTGTTTTGATGTTCTTGGCTGGCTTTAACCCATAGTGAGCTACAGAGAGTCAAAGTTTACACATATTCTTCCACTATCGCTAATATGCACACCAGGTATCTATCACTACTTTCAGAATGCTTAACCTACGCACCCACACCGCTCTCTGCGTTTACATATGACGTCATACTCCGGTGACGTCGTCGACGGGACACATGGACATTATTCCATATAGGAGAGTTTTTCTGTTACGCGATGGCCAAAGTTCCCGGAATTTATTGTGTGTGAAGAACACGCGTTTTTAATAGCGTGGAAAGGGTTGAAGTGAGATGTTTTTCGCGGGAATTTGATCGTCAGTTATTGGAGCGATATGGATAGCGCGTGTGCACACGAAGGCTTATTGCGTGTATAGGTTTGATATTGAGGACAAGGGATTTTGGAAGCTGACGTTATAGAAATGAAAAGCTCTCCTTTATCAATGGATCTGGGGGTTCTTTGGAAAAAGGCAAAGAATATGTACTTGCACTGAAATTACAAAACTTTCTCTATGATCGAGAAATACTTTCTTCTAATAAAATTGGCTCTGATCAAAATTTTCCATATGCGACAAAGGTAATAGACTTAATCAATATAACATATCACAATTAATAGTATTAGATTTTTTTATAATATAAATTAAAAAATTTTTCCATATCCTTCAATTTCAATTTCATTAGAAAGAATTAAATTTTTTTTGTTTGAAAAGGTTAAAAATCTAAAAAATCTAAAAGCAAATTAATATAACTTAAAAAAATTAGGTTAAAATTAAAAATTAAATTGAACTAAACTGATTTAATTTGATTGGATCGTATTCAATAAATAGGTTGACTCAATTTATTTTTTTTATCCAAAAATGTTATTTATTCAATTTATATTAATTATGTTGCGGACCCCTACCGACCCTTAAGTGAAATTTGTTAGAATTAAAATTATTAATTTTACGGCAGATAGGCTCAAATAGTTTAAAGAAAATAAGAACATCCTTAAAAGGTAAGGAAATGAATGTACTTGAGAATGCAAAGTACGTCAACAGAGGAGGTGATCATTACAAGCATGATTGCTATTTTGAGGTGCGTTTGGGTAAAATTTAAAGTCATCCACTTCAACCTTAACCTTAGCCGTCCTATGTTTTGAGAGTGATAGTACTAAATACCAATAACCATATGTAACAAGTGAATATTCTTGCATATACCACCCCTCCCTTCTTTCACTTCCAACCTCCATATATAATTATATAAAAATTAAAAAAAATAAAATAAAATCACCCACTATAAAAGGAACGCTGTATAATGAGTTTTCTTAGCTACTAAATTTAATATTATAAAATCAACTGCAACCTTGTATTTTACCGAAAAAGTTTTTACAGCACTCTAAACCTTGTGAGTGATTTATTATACATTTTAAGTTACAAATTTTGTTAATATTATATATCTTTTTATATTAACAATAATATTTTTTTAGTGCTTTTTGATATTTATGTGTAAGATATTCATGTAGTTAGTATAATTTGAAATAATAATAATATATTTTTTTTAAGAATGGTATGATTGGATAACTAAAGGCCTTCAAGCCTCAAAAGATGACAATACAAATAGGAGGTGAATTAAGAAATTCAACCTGATCCGACACAGAATGGGATGCCTTTTGCTAAACTATGGTCATCACCATTTGCAGATCTACGGATAAACGAAATAACAATTTTCACATTTTTAAATATCTAATAAATATTTAATTAATTTAATTTTAAAAGTTTGAGTATTCAATACAATAATTTTTACAAGTTGGAGTATTTAATTAGTATAATTTTATAAATTAAAATATTTAATAAATCAAAGTAAAAATTAAGGGTGGCACAAAATTTTTTATATAAAGTACAATGATGAGACATTAGGCCTAAAACTTATTTTATTCGCCATTAAATTGAATATCACACTTATTTCAGTACAAATATATATTAATAATAATTGCATTTATCTCAATATAATTTAAAAATAAATAAAAGTTGGGTTTTATATTGGATAAATTGGAAAAAAGAAAAACAACAAAACAAAGTATAAATGGGGTTCCTAATGCACTTGGTAAATGTCTCTTAAAAAATATAAAAATTTATATGTTATTTCAAAAGTTTTGGTGAGGCTACCTAACGAAAGCCAATCCATACGTGCAAATTCCTATAGTAACATATTGACTCTTCATGTACTTATGGGGACAATCGTGACCTCAACACTACTCTCCATGTTCTTTCTACATTAAAATTCAAACTATTCTACTTCTTCTGTTCTCCACTTATTGCTATATTTTACATACTAAACTAACAGAAATTTTGGCTTATGTGCATCACCATGTTATTTGGTTTTGAAACTAGTTGCTTTTTCTTTATACATGGATTTGATTTGATTCGGTTTCATCAAATTAATATTTTTTAAATGTCATATATGTCAATTTATTGTATTTATATTATTGTAAAAAAATCAACATTTTTTTTATATATAAGTAAATATGTGAAACTTTATTCCATTTTGTTATTTACCGTATGTAAAAGAGAGAGAATTAAATTTGAAAATTAAAATTGTTTGTTTCATTAATTTTTTTTAGTTTGAATTAAATAGTGTTTGTGACAGGCATAATACATAAAGTCACCCCTGAATTTTGAAATTTTAACATTATGATATCTTGAATTATGTGAATGACATATTATACATTCGAACTCATAAATTTTTATAACAATGATAAATTTTTAAAGTTTTTGATTTTTATGTGCAAAATATTGATAAAATGTGTAGCTACAATAGCTTTTGAAATAATTACTTTCATATTTTTCAACTATTTAACAATTGTTTAATTGATCTATTTTTACAAATTAAAATATTTAATAAGTATTAATTTTATAAATTAAAATATTCGAAATAAAGATATATAGTTGAGGGGTGAAATTATGTATTTGGCTGTTTGCGAGAGAATATTGATGTTTAGTCATGTCCTAAGTATAACTTCATGTGTCTAATTTATGATAGTGATATATTGGTGGTGAACAGTAAAAAAAAGGTAAATTTACAGTCGTACAAAAGGAAGTTGTCTCAAAAGATCTATTATTTTTCAATATTAGTGCAGACTTAGTTAGGAATTGAGAATGGATAAAAACAAATAATTCACATAACCAATTTCAACTTATTTGAAAGTTATTTACTTGTTGAATCAAATAGTAGACACCCTTATAATACTTCATTTTTGGACACACGTATTCCAAAAGGAAAGAATACTATTTTGCATGATGATGATAGCACAAAGAACGTTTGAACAAAAGGACATTTCTGTTCTGAAAACTGCCCGTAGCTAATCGGTAACACTAACACATCCAATATCTTTTGCAAAACAAAGTTCCCTTTAACTCATTTGTCAATTGCCAAACTCTTTTCTTTCTATTTCTCTTTCTCTTTTTCTTTTTCTTTTTAGTTTTGTTTTTCAATAATAGGGTCTCAAGCTAAAATTGTCAAACCGACAAACCAAATTGCCTCTCCAATTATCTTTGTTGGCAAAGTCCAACATGTACAAGCCATTGCAATTTAAGACAATATCATATTCCCTTATATACGACCCACTTATAGTATTTTTAACTTTTAATCTATTTAACTCAATCATATTTAAAAATAAATTTTCACACGTAAAATGTATAAATTCTTTAAGATTTATAATTAAAATAAAAAAGTAATACAACAATAAAATTTAAATAGGTATTAGTTAGAGTATTTATATCTAACACTAAAATTACATCTTTACTCTTAAATAAACGGATTACTCGCCTAACCCGAGTGTCAACTCGCGACACAACACGTTTATATTCGTATCATAAATTAGTGATTCGTTTACGACACGAACTCGTTTAACCTCAACTCTAACCCATTTATTTCGCGTGTTAGGCGAATCATGTTCATGTGTCGTGACCCATTTTGACACCTCTAATGTGACCTACATCAAAATATACACACACTATTAATGTAGTTTTCAATAGCGATAATAATTTTGAGAGTTTAACTAATTATATTGAAATAAGAAATTCAGTATTTTTTTTATTTTATGTTTATGATTTATTATAAATGATTGTTTATTTAATTGAAATATTAATTATACTTATT